CATCAGCGGAGACAAGTGAGTTGCACATGCCCACACCAGCTGCAGCAACAGGCGCAACCCTTGTCGATGTTATACAGCAAAAGCAAACAGAAGCAGAGCAGGCCACCACACAAGCACTGAAGGTACAAGCACCGCAAACAGCACACCCACAGGAAGTGCCAACAGACCAGCACGGCGTTCCATCATCCAGCTCTAGATCAGCAGAAGCTGTGCCTGCACCAGCCCCAGTTGCACCAAGTCATTCGCAGCTGGTAGCAGCTGCAGTTGTACCACCAGCATTGACAGCGCCAGCAGCTTCATCTGAAGCAATGCCGATAGCAGCGATTGGTTTGAAAAAGGCACCAGTTCCTCACAGCAGGCAAACCAAGCTGACATTTCCTTCTCCCAGATCGGGCGTGGATGATTTGGCTGAATTGACGGAACAGGCACAGATTTTCAAAGATCTTGCTGAGTTGCTAGGAGGAGTTCGAAAATACATTCCACTTGAACCACACACAGATGATTGGTGCTATTGGAACCCTGCTCAGGGCTCGGCCAGAGAACACGCTCACCGTATGGTGGAGGAATTGAAAGCCAGCGGTCGGCTTCTTTCAGATTCCCATGTACGTCTTGATCCACGTGACCGAAACGATGATCCAGACGGTCCAGACGATGCTGCAGATCCTGCAGACCCAGGCAAACGTGAAGGTGGACCATCTTCAGGTGTACAGGCTCGGCTTCACTCTGCTTCATGAATGCATGGTCCAAATCCAGTGGCTTGCAGGTTTTGAATTATTGAACTGATCCACCGCCTTGCATCAGGCAGCTGGTGCCTGTGAAGAACACCCAGATGATTTTCAAAAGCTGACGGCCACACAGTTGATGTATGAATGAATCTTTTGTCGAACATTTGAGGTGTTGCTTTGTTTTGCAATTAGCAAAACGCGCGTGCACATATGTATATCATGGTCCTGCGCTTTCAATTTTGTTGGATACTTATTGTTTAGAGTGATGCAGCATAAGGTCGTGCAACTCAAAGACCAGCTGAAAGCATTTGGTGTTTCCACTGTTGGAAACAAGGCTACTCTTGTCGGGAAACTGCAGGAGTCAACTGCATCATTTTGTACAAGTGACCGTTTAACCTTTTTTGCTTCCATCTCGAATTGCAAATCCTGCAGGAAGCACACAAACGCTTGAATCCAGACGGACACCTGAAGACTTCCTCGAAGAAGCACAAGAAATAATCGAGGAGGAGGTCACATGTGCAGTTTACCTTGCTCAAGACTTAAGCTCTTCAGAGCTGGGACTGTGCGTTAGAGGAAAAAAGTATGTTGCCGCCTGCTTGCTATTTTGAATGTGTCGCTGAGTTTCCCGCACACTCTAAAACTTATAGGTATTTTTCCACTTGAACCCCGAAGCAGAACCACTTACTTTAGAAACTTAGCAGCGAGAACCTCCCTTTTTGGCGGCCGGGGTAGGCCGAGGTAGGTAGGTAGGTAGGGTAGCTAGTAGAGACTGGGTAGCTAGTAGCTACCAGTAAGCTACTACCTACTGAACACAGGATAGCTAGCGCTTCTTCAAGGAAGTCCATACTACCATGTTGGGTCATGGTTTGTACCTTTGTCATTGTCAGGTCTTTTAAGAGTTGCTTGAAGGTCGATGATCGTCCGGTGTAAACCATCTTGAACCAAGGGAGCCCTCCGCAGGAGCGTCTTCAGGCTGAAGAGCTGGATTTGGACCAGGCTGAAGAGCTCGAGCCGTGCAGAGACGAGAAATTGGATGGACCATGGATTTGTACAGCACATGGGACCTTACTTGTCTTCAAGGGCATGCAGCAAAAAAGGTGGCCTTACTGATTGTGGGTTGACCGAATTGCCACAAGGTTGGTATGGATATTGGGTTTAGCAATGTACGGAGTTGTTCTTCTGTTTGCAGCTGGCATTGTGTGTGTGTGCCACACAAGAACAAACGGAAGAGTTCAAGACAGCTCCACCATTTTGGATGCCATTTTACCGCTTTCCCAGTGGCCCTAGTGTGGGCATCGCTCCGGATTCTGTGTGCAGAGTGAAGGCATAGCGCAGAGGTTTGCAGGACATGGGCGTGCCTCCCAAAGTGGACGGAAACAATAGACACCATCATGCGTTGGAGATGTTCTTCAGATAGTACACATATCCCAGGACCTTCAAAGGGACCTTTTGAGATCCCATGAGGTCAGGTCACTTAGGCTTGTGAAAGGTCACAAACAGAGACTCCAAAGAGAGGTGCACCGGACTGCCTCGACCGGTCTCGCGAGGTACAAGCGGTGATCGAAGAGAGCTTTGCCGCCAACCTGCCTGGGAGCCCGAGTCGATGTGTTCTTTTTCGGGCATGTGGACAAAATCCCAGCAATGCAAATGTCGGGTTGAAAGCTTGATTCTGCCATCTTTGGTACCTTTCTCATAGATTTGTACACTCCACTGGCTTTTTCAAGAGGAAAACATCCAGAAACTGACCCAAACGGCACGTGGAACGCTCCACGCTCCTCTGAGGCCGTCCTTACTGATCTCGCCCAAAGGCGACCGGACAGACGTGAGATGCGGCCGATGTCCCGACGTCTCCAGCTGATGTGGGACAAGACCTAGGGAAACCCCAAGTGCACCGCACGAAAAAGGCTGGCCTTTGTTCATGTTGGGCCTAGGGTGGAGATCGCAGATGGTCCTCAAAATATGTGCGGTTTTCTTGATGAAAGTGTCCAGGTTGTGAAGTCTTCCTCAGCACTTCACTTGAAACAGTGACATGCTCCTGATGCAACAGTCAATTGTTGAGCACCGATCTCGTCAATCTTGACCTGCATCCATTGGTTGAGGCGTGGGGAAGCAGATCTGGGACACTCCAAAGAATGAGGTCCGTCCGATGCAGGAGATATTCTGTGCAGGGGCATTTTGCTCGATCTTTGCTTTGCTGGTGGGCTTTGGGAGTGTACCTTTGTGTTTGGGATTGTTTGCAGTGAGCTTGGATGAACGTTTGGAATCACGATGGTGTGGCGTCCAAAATCTAGTATTGCCAGGAGCTACTAGTAGCTTCTTGCTTCTAGTAGTAAGGTGCTTTGTTACTAGCTACTAGTAGCGATGCACTTGCTCTGGAGGAGCCGGAGGAGGAAGAGGACCTCCCCGTGGCCGATGAACACAAAGGCGCGGCGGAGTCGAGAAATCGCCGACGGCGGTGCCCCACCCGAACCAGCGACACTCGGCCAGGCGTATTCTCGCCCGGCGCCCAGGCAATGCTGGCCTTCCGTTTGACATGTCTTTTCAAGCGCGGGAGACAGCATGAAATGAAAGTGAAGGAAATGGAATCGAAACCTTCCAGTAGAGTAACGTCATCCAAGGTCATAGTGGTAAGGGCGGAGCTTAGACCAAAAGGCATCATTTTGACGAGTCGAACTTGAAACTCGCCGAAGCTTAGGATCGTTGGAAGAACTCCAAAGCCATTTTCATCGGAAGCAACAGATGTGTTGGACAATCGGTCAAGGACGCTACTAGGGGCTCCTGGCCTTACTACTAGGAACAAGAAGCTACTAGGGGCTCCTGGCATCGCTACTAGGAGCAAGAAGCTACTAGTAACAAGTGCATCGCTTCTAGTAACAAGTGCCTTACTA